CTTGTTTTATTTCCCAAACCCTGTCAACCATTACCAAGTTTCTGTTGAATTTGTTCAATAACGAATTCTTTCATGACCAATTCTAAAATTTCCTTTTAGATGCCTCAAATGATGACGATGTGGACACGGGAGGCGACTCCTCACCAAACCAATCTGCGTCAGGAACCGACAAGCGTAACAGATCCCTAGAAGCCCTCTTCGTGGTCACCGATAATGAGCTACAGAACATCGCCGCACGTCAACCGGGCACGGAAGAGATAGACGAAGATCAAGTCATCGTCCTCAACGATCTGCAGGGAGTCGAAATCGAAGACGCACAGATTGTAATAACGCATACGGACGAAAAGGGTCAACCGTCAACGGAGAAGGTGAAACAAAAGATCCTTCTCAAAGCGGAAGCTTACGACCGAATGAGCCCTAAATTAATGTATACCAAACAGGCATCGGAATCTAGTCTGCCATTGCAGCTGTTGCAGAAATCCAAAAGAGTGGAAACATTTTCCAAGAGTCAGAGTGAAATTATAGGACAAAGTGTGGAAATTGAAACGACACCGATGGTAGGCCGAAGACGAAAACATCCACAGAAACCGGGTCGTCATATTTGTTCGTATTGTGGACGCGGATGTGCAAAGCCAAGCGTTTTGGAGAAGCATCTACGAGCACACACCGGAGAACGCCCGTTTCCTTGTCTCGATTGCGGATTTTCTTTTAAAACCAAAAGTAACTTATATAAGCATTGTAAATCAAGAGCGCATGCGTTGAAGGTTAATCAAGGATCCATTTCTGAACAAACATCAATGGTGGACCCGAATTTAGTAGAAGAAATCGTAGAAACTGAATCTAACGAAATATCTGAGGATGGAATTGCTACCCGGATTATCGAAGACGAAGAAGAAACCGAATCTGCGAGTGACCACGACGATCACAACCTGGACAAATCTTTTGAAGTTTTAGCGTCACCGATGGCTGTCCAAACCATCGAAACTGCAGAGTTGTCCTCAATGGCAACTACGTCACTTCCTAGTTACAAGAAGAAGATGGAAGTTGAAAAACTCATTGAATGGTCCAAAAATTTGGAAATACAAGAAAAGAAGAAATCTCATGCAATGTTAGAAGTCCATAGTCACTATCCAATTAAGATTGCACCTAAACATGGGATTAGCATGGAGTCTTTGATGGTTCCCGAGGCAGAAGCCCGGCCCAAGTTGTATTCACAAAAGAGCACACCAGAGTACTCCGTTAGCGAACCACCACTGGGGCAGATACCCAGCATGGATTCGTCCAACGTGACAACTCCCACTAGACTCAATAAATCTGGCAAGATGTCTCTTCCAGTGATCATGAGCACAGAAACCAAGGCCCTGGGACCCAGTACCCCACAAGTTCTCGGGTCCCCACCAATTCTCCATTCGCCACCTATTCTAAATACAAAGGAGCCTGCCATAACGATCAGCACCGAGACGGTAAAGCTACCACATCCGAGTTTGGGAAGAGAGGCTTCTAAAAAGGGATTGAAGGATCTCGAGGAACTCATGGCCAAGTTGAATTCTCCAAACTTTCAAGGGATACAAATATCGACATCTTTTAACAAACTGCCTGATAAATCCCTAGAAGTGATTGTTCATGTTGCAAGCTCATCGGAAGGGCAGGTCACTGGGAAATCCGAACTGAAGCAGAAGATTGATGCCCTAGTATCCGCAACATCTACAGCCCTAGCAACTCGCGCGACTCCACCAGTGACGTCATCACCAAGTCTAAGCTCTACGCCATCATTCAGTCGGTCGGACAGCAAGAACTTTTCCTCAGAACATATCAAAGAGCACATTCAGCAGCTTATATCTGCTAATGCTGCAATTGTGGACAAACCAATGTCAGATGCTCCGAGACCAAGAGCCAAGAACATTTTTAGACAAATCAGTGATAATGCTGCTTTCTCTCAGAAAGTGGACACCCCTAACATTGTCTCGACGCCCCTGTCTCCAATGCTATCACTGCCCGGAGATTTACCAAGAAAGCCTTTCATCGGCAAACCTTTACTCTCAGCATTGTCTCTACCAAACAGTTCCGAAATCATAAAGAAAGAAAACCTAGCAAGGAAGACAGACCAACTGAAGATGCTTAATGAGCTTACTGGATCTCAAACCCTGAGTCTCACCAGCGACCTCCCGAGAGGTCAAATCGATCGATCAGCCAGTCTGAACATTCCAAGCAGTGATGTCGCTCGGATTGGAATAGACAGGTCCTCAAGCTTCAACGTCTCCACGACACCAACAAATGTTATCAACAGAATTGGTAGCCTGAATCTTCCGCCCAAGGACACTCATGTCTCTTTTGATTCTTCGACCAGTCTTCAGCTCCCGAAGTCGAGCAGTGAAGGTCACAGGGGATCCATAGAACGATCATCAAGCCTCAATATCCTGACAACTCAACACGCCCTGTCAAAATCCAAAACAATTGAAGAAACCAGTACAACTAATAGTAACGAGTTCAAAATTCAAATCAAGTTATCCAAGACGCAAAGTGAATCGGGCACTGCAGGCCCAGATTCGAATCCACCGCAATCGAAAATAGCAACATCGTTACTGTCGATGCCACACGATATTAGCAGTTCATCTCAAGTGAGGGCGACTGTGGTACCAACTTTCACTGTCTCACCAGCCTTGCCCAAGAAAGTTCCCAAAATTTCCGTATCTGCACCCCCATCGGATGTTTTTCCGGTAAAAATAATACGGAATATTTCCAGTCTTTGCCCCGGGAATAATTGCCCGAATTGTGGTGACAGTTTCAACCACGTGGATACCCTAGAGCTTCACCAGCTCCTATATTGCACCGCCGACACCCAGACGCGAAGTAATCAAGATTTTGAGCAAAAGCAGAAAGTCCTAATTGCTAACTATTTCCAAAAGGCAGGATCGGGATTAAAGAGATCTGTTTCAATGCCGGCGGGACCTTCTGCAAAACAAGAAAGGACACAGACGGAGGCTCGAAGTGAAACAATAACTAACAAGCTTGAGAGAGTTCCTTCAACCAGTCTAAAACCTAGCCCAAGACCATCGGAGCTACCATTATCATCTTACGGCTATCCAAAGTTAGCTTTTCCAGACTCGATAAAGATGCAAACCGGCTCGTATGTAGTTGACCAGAAATCGATTGATTTGACTGATAGAAAAGTCTTTCCAGGACCAATGCAGATACTCCAGGCGTCAACACCAGTTCTCCAAGTACAACCGAATTCTCCGATGATCCAAAGCCCTCGTATCATGACTCCCACGTCTATCCCAGTCATGTTAAACTTGAGTCAGAATCGACAACTGTTCATTCCTCAATCCCCATTGATATCAGAGTCTGGGGCTCAAATATCGCCAGCTATCCTTAGATCCCGTAGTCTGGCATTCCCTCAAATCAACCTTGCTGCCACATCAAGATCGGCTTCAATGGGATCTGGAGCTAAAACTCCCAGTACTCCCACTCCTTCATTCCAAGCTATTCTGCCTAACACCAACCTCCCTCTGATAGGTCAACCGATGATTTCTCCGATGTCACCAGTCATTCCAGTTTCAGAACCACACAGTCAAAGTCAAGCGGTTTCCAATATGAAGATGCGATTGAAGGGAAAGCTTCTGTTGAAGAGGTCCATGAGTGCTGAGAAAATGAAAGAAGGGTCATTGGACAGCCCAGGCATCGGTAACAGAACACCTGATACACCAGGGTCCGCCAACCGACCACAATTTGGTGATGGTAGTAAACTTGCCCAACTTTTGACAAAGGATGCCCAACAGGGTCCACAATCCAAGCGACCGAAATTAGGAGAATTGAAACAGATGAACTCTGGACAGTTGAAAGCAGTCGATTACACTGAAGATGACGCACCAGTGTCCGGAAGTAAGCTAATGAAGTCCAGATCGACTACTCAGCTAGGAACCTCTTTTTCCAAACAAGGATCGGTGATGCCTATGTCCATCTCGCAAAGCTTTGACGAAGCAAGACTGGGTACGATGACAGCTGCTATCCTTATCAAAGATGGCGGACCGACAGACGGCGATCCAGTTCATTTCTTCAGTGTACCAGTAGTTATTGCACAGCCGTTTTACTCACAGACGAAGGGACTGAGCGCCGGTTACCATAGTAATCTCGGCAGGTTGTCTGGTTCACAGAACGTCATCACGTTGATCAGTCCGAATACGTCATCAAAATCCTTTCCCGGATCTAAAACTGTTAAAGAGCTGTTGATCCAGAAGTCACAGGAAGCTGTTCGGTCGCCAAGTTTCAATCGCTCCTTCTCCGAACTTTCTTCAGCTCAAACCACGAAGCCTCTTCAGTATGACAAGGGAGTGAACTCCAATACAACTCAGCAGCTGAGAGAGAAATTATCCAGTCAAGATAAACTGAGCCCGAGACAACAAGACCCTGTTACAACACCAACTCAGAAGAAACCCAAAGCACCAGCAGCGCTAAATCTTTATGGACATCTAATAGCAACGTTGAGGAGCACGACTCACGTGTCCTACTGCTGTGTCCAGAGACCTCAACCATTTTATGTTCCAATATCAGCCAATAAAAAGATCTCGATGTACTCGAACTGGAAGGCTGCGCCGTATAACCCCAACCCAGCAGGTTTAACATCCAAGGATTTGCTGACCTTGTATAAGTCCAGGTACACCAGTAATCCCGTATATGCGGAAGGCGGTAACTCCATCCCAAGCTCCCTAGGAGGATTTGTCACCCACAGTACGTACTGGACATACCATAAACAACGCGAAGGACACGATGTTAAGGCGGGGTGGTCCCACTCAAAAGAAAAGGATTTGAGTAAGCGAGAAAAGGTTAGCTCAACAACTTTGGAAAAGGTTTTGACTAAAATTCGAGAAACCACACCGGAGACTTCCAAAAAGGAAACGGAAGCATCCAAAATGGCTGCGTTAAAGAAGGAAAAGGTTTGCCGAGGAGGATTCAAAACGGATGCGGAATACACTTATATACGAGGACGCGGTCGGGGCAACTACGTCTGCGAGACATGTGGAATACGTTGCCGTAAGCCGAGCATGCTGAAGAAACATATCCGGACTCACACCGACCACAGACCTTACCACTGTCGACACTGTAAGTTTTCCTTTAAGACCAAAGGTAACTTGACGAAACACATGAAGTCTAAAGCCCATCAGAAGAAATGCATCGAGTTGGGAGTCGTTCCGGTGCCGACATCAGTGGAAGATTGTCAAATCGATGATGACGAACTGGCAGCTCAGATGTCATCTGATAAAGACGGTGGTGCTTGGGCTGAAGAGTCGATTGAAGATGATGATGGCGAAGATGATAAAGATGATTCTATGTCGTTGGACGGGGACGATGAAATGGACAAGAGGGAATATGAATTTGAAAGGTAAGATTGTTACCTAACTCCCATCTTGTCAAGCTATTACGAACATTACGAACTTCGTTATACCTTTACTTCAATAGCCACCAAAGAGGACATTCGTAATATCTTGACATTGTAAAGATGCCTAACTACTTGAATAGAGGTTTTTCGAATGGTGCTATATGTGTCAACCAATACAAAATACATCGATTTTGTAAATACTTGGTTGTCAAGATAACTTTCTACTTGCACTAATATGTACCGCACATCTTGTTAATTTTAACCCGACCAGATTAGCATACCTATATTTCCTCGACCATACACCATGCATTTTCATTTCAATTCCAGGTCAACAGTTGAGGTTGATCCTCTGAGTGATGTACCCCCTTCCTCTCCGGTGTATGTGGCTGTCCAAGTATCAGAGAGCGACGAACCGGCTTTGATGAAAATTACACAGAAAGGATCGTCTGCAAGGTGAGCATTAGAATAAGAATTAGGCTTTATATATTCTCTTAATCTCTAAAAAGAATTTTGGAAACGTCTTTCAAATTCGAAATGACATCTGAAGAATAGACTTCATTGGTCAAAATATCGTCACAATCTCTTGAAGGATCCAATCAAATTCGACTTCCTAACCGGCAATAATCACAATTCTCACATGTTATGAGCAGGCCGTAGAATATCAACGCTACTGTCCTATTGATTGAAACATGATGTTTATTATATTTTCAGTCTCGGAACTGTATATGGATTCGATGGAACGTCCTACGCTGACAGAGCCATGACTCCGGATAAGAGTAAGTAAAGGATTGATTTTAAAACTCTAGACAAGGCAGATCAGATTTTTAAAAACATTGGACAACTTTGCAATGTGAACGTCTCCGAGTTAGCAAGATAGCCAGTTCAAGCTATTTACAAAATTGTTGTTTTTTTAGGTTCTGATCCAGCTAGAGCTCAAGTGATCGATACAGAAATTGCTCGAAGTTTGTTGGAGTTGTCTAAAAAGGCTGAGTCGGAAGAGAGGGGTGACGGTTCTGTTGAAAGCGGGGAGAAGAGAGGTAGGTCCTTGGGTTTTGAATCAAACGCATCAACTTGGGCAGTGTTGTGATATTTTTTTTGATGACTGTGCTCGTCAACCCTTACAGACAGATCAGATAACTAATAACGTTTGTTTGGTGTTAAGGTTCGTCAATAAGGCATTACAGTCATCAAAGATTATAATATTTGATATATTTATTTCAGAAACAAGATTAGGTAACTTGATCGGTGCACTGATGTCGCGAACCAAACCACTGTCGGGTCTTCAACCAAAGGACGATAGTTTAACAGGGTCACAGTCTGCTCCAGTTCAACCAGTGATCACCTTAGACCAGGATCCAACTGTAAGTATGACAGGGAAACATAACTCCATGCTTCCTATTCCAAGCTGTAAATGGGTACGGGTAGCCCGGAAAAGATCAGTTTAAAGAAGTTTGACAAAGGACCAGCTGATAGACAGGGTCCTCGTGAACCTACACTGTAAAATTTTGGTTTAAAAACAGAACACTCAGTTCTTTCCAAGGCACTTCATAAATCCCAATGAATTTTCTCTTTTTTTCAGGACACAGATTCGAACACATCTTCTACCAAACGACCTAGCGATCTGTTCTTAGGAGTAGAGTTACAACCAAGTCGCAAGAGATTCTACCTTCCAGCGTCGCCTGCGAAGACACCCAAAGAGAAAGAGTTCCCCGCGTATCCGCAAACGCCTCTCAATGCGTCTATCTTGTCATATCTTCCGCCATGTCTGTCCACTAAAGTTGCCGCTACTAAAGATTCAAATTATCGTGGACCAATCGTTGGACAGATCATTCAACAAGATAGCATTGTCATGACACCCGTGAGGTCGTCTGCTTCAAGTTCCACTTCCGGTTTATCATTTCAATTCAGTCATCCTTTTTTGGAAAACATCATTCAAAGCGTTTCTCGGTCAAACTCAAAGGATGAGTCGTCAGCTGATATTACTGGACAATCGGGATCACTCAAAGTGTCTATAAGTGATCGCGAAAAGACTGGACAAATCAAAGTTCCTGTTACAGAAGCAGCCAATCAAATTAAGATATTCCTAACGGACGATTCAGGCTTTGAAGTCTGGAATAACCAGTCCTCTGATAACAGTTCATTTGAGTGTGATTGTGGTCAAAAATGCCTGGATAGTCATGACTTGGCAGTTCACAAATTGACGCATTCGTCTGACTCTGCTTTTAAATGTAATCGTTGTGAGATTCAATTCAATTCAGATAATGCATATGTGAGACATTTACAATCTGCGGAACACAAGGAACGTGTGAAATCTAATGCTGTCAGGTGCGTCTATTGTGGTGTTCAGTTTACTGAAAAGGAACAATTGCATGTGCATCTGCGATCACGTGCACATTTTAAGGAGTTGGAAGGATTGGGCGTGATTTGTTCTGGAGTGTATGAGTCTTTAGAGGCAGACGGCGAGCTGGAGAGATTGGATGTGGAGGACACGGAACAGTATTTTCAATATCTGATCTCGAAATCCACTGAATTATCTCAACGTCTGGACAATGTGATTAAAGGAAATAACTCCAATCAAAATAATTCGGTTATCCAGTCTAGTCAGTCTCCATCATCCTGTGACAATCAGTTTCCGAAACGGTTAGACTATGAAAAGCATGACGAAGCTTCGAATGAGCGAGTGACAGTAGAAATCAAACACGAGCCAATAGATATGGGGGAAATTGGACGCGGGGGTTTCGTATCGACCAATCAAACGGAAGATGATGATATTCAAATTATGGAAGCTTCTCAAGGGCAGATAACCACTAAAATAGTGAAAGTTGAGGATGGTGTAGATGGAGGTCCGCATTTGTGCGGGATTTGTCGGAAAGGCTTCAAAGATATACAGGAACTAAGGGTATGTCACAAATTTTACTTTTGAAAGTTGACAAGTTTTAAAGGACCCTCATCATAAGCTAATGTGGGTTTTCCAAGAGGTTTCCTAGTTGAAAAACTCGGATGGGGAGCGGCCTCAGATATTATGGGAGAGGGGCATGTCCTGTCTCCTTAGCTACATGATTGGTAGTGAACAAAAGCTCAGAAAAGTATATTCTTCAGACTTCATGAAATCCACAGAAGTATGAATTAAAAATCTACCTTCTATTTTTCAGTCTCATATCATCACCCATGCTGAGTTGAGACCGTACGTCTGTGAATACTGTGACGCCGGGTTTACTAATGCTCAAAGTTTAAAGACTCATCTACATACCCATATGCAGGTTAGTTTTTAGACCCTTCTCAAATTTTCCCTGATTAGTAAGACATAAAGCAGCATTTCATTTCAATTCCTACTCACATGGTCACCTTGTGATAACCCAAACCCATTTCCTTGCAAATGACGTAACATATCGAGCCACTTGTTACCATAACTAACCAAAAAAGCTACAGCCTACTGCAATAGACTCAATTGAGCTAAATGGCACTTAGGCCAACAGAGCTACTGAATTTCTTGAACGAGCTCACGTTGAACACTTAAACTCAGAGATCTTGGAGCTCAAAAACGCTAAAACCAATTGAGCCTAAAGAGCAGTGGAGAATCGCCCAGAGGAGGTCAACGAGCTTAATGGATGCTATTTCAATTGCTAAAGAGATACTTCGTATATTCTAGGAAAGACCATATGTTTGTGGAAGATGTGGTGATACCTTCACTCAAGCTGACGACCTTCACCTTCACATGTCAACTCATTCAACACTACTTCCTGTTAAATCAATGGACCAATCATCACCCTCCATTTCCCATTTCAACCAATCACCACTTAGACCAACAGTATCATTTGACCATTCAAAATCTCACACAGAAAGCAACCAATCAGTGTTAAGATCGTACTCAGTTGACCAATCAAAACCTGTTTTAAAACCAAGTGACCAGTCATCGTATTTAATAGATAATCCTTCACGACCGGGTTCAGCCAATGAAATCAACCAATCGCAATCAGTGATTGTGTCAAAAGACTTGCCGGAGACAAATCCTCAAATTTGATTGGATTAAAATGCTTTAATATAAAACCACAACCTGGCATTGTTTTATAGAATCATTTCACGTCTTGTGAAAAATTTAACAGTAAAATTAGAATAAGGCTTCTGCACACGTGTTTTAGGAAACTAACCTTTCGTCAGTTAACACTGATCATTGTCATTGTGATTTGTTAGATAAGCGTGTCAGAAAGTACCATTTTAATACTAATATCTAATCAAGAATTGACAACTCACTGGATTAACAATCAGAAATGTTTATTAACGTTCACAAGATCTTAAATACGGGCACTAACAAACAGTGAGCTCGACTAGATCTATAGGTATCAAGAACCGTTTGTTTTGGTGTTGTGGGTTCGAATTCCCCTAAAACATATCATTATAATTAATACACACTGGCAAGAGTGTTATGTTTTTTTTTTCGATTATGGAAAGCATGAATGATTTAACTGTATGCTAGCACTCCAAAGGTGAAAATACGGGGCCGACTTTGAGGTTATGGAATTTTGGATAATACTGGTGAACACCGAGAAGATTAAACACACTGGAGGCCGCCATATTAGTAAACTGGTCCGCCATTCCATCTGATGCTTCTTGTAGAGAACCTGTTTAAGGGTTTTATTCGCCCATGTGACTTGTTTTTGTTACTTTGTTACGTTTTTAAAATTGTTTGTTATTCATTTGTATTGAATTTGTGCTGCTTCGTTGTTCAGAGAAGAAATAAATCGTTCTCTATTCCAGCTTTCGTGTGATCTCTCGGCCATTTTATGGGAGCGT